CATACATACATACATACATACATACATACATACATACATACATACATACATACATACATACATACATACATACATACATACATACATACATACATACATACATTACATACATACATACATACATACATACATACATACATACATACATACATACATACATACATACATACATACATACATACATACATACATTACATACATACATACATACATTACATACATACATACATACATACATACATACATACATACATACATACATACATACATACATACATACATACATACATACATACATACATACATACATACATACATACATACATACATACATACATACATACACATACATACATACACATACATTACATTACATACATACATACATACATTACATACATACATACATTACATACATACATACATACATACATACATACATACATACATACATTACATACATACATACATACATACATACATACATACATACATACATACATACATACATACATACATACATACATACATACATACATACATACATACATACATACATACATACATACATACATACATACATACATACATACATACATACATACATACATACATACATACATACATACATACATACATACATACATACATACATACATACATACATACATACATACATACATACATACATACATACATACATACATACATACATACATTACATACATACATACATACATACATACATACATACATACATACATACATACATACATACATACATACATACATACATACATACATACATACATACATACATACATACATACATACATACATACATACATACATACATACATACATACATACATACATACATACATACATACATACATACATACATACATACATACATACATACATACATACATACATACATACATACATACATACATACATACATACATACATACATACATTACATACATACATACATACATACATACATACATACATACATACATACATACATACATACATACATACATTACATTACATACATACATACATACATACATTACATACATACATTACATTACATTGCATTGCATTACATTACATTGCAGTAGATTACATTACATTACATACATACATACAGTACATTACATACGCACATTACATTACATTACTTTACGTTACATGACATTACATTTCATTTATGCATGCATGCATACATTGCATACATTACATACATTCTCTCTCTCTCTCTCTCCTTACATACATGCATTACATACATACATACATACATTACATACATACAAAAATACATACATACATACATACATACATACATACATACATACATACATACATTGCATTACATTCATACATACACACATACATTGCATGACAGAACATGACATGACATGACATGACATGGCATGACATGACATACATACATACATTAATACATACATAACATTACATACATTACAATACTTATTTACTTGCTTACTTACTTACATACATACATGCATGCATGCATACATACATACATTACCCACATACATACATACATACATTACATACATTACATTACATTACATTACATTACATTACATTACATTGCACTACATTATTACATCACATACATACATACATACATACATAAATTACATACATACATACATACATACATACATACGTACATAACATTACATACATTACATTACTTACTTACTTACTTACATACATACATACATGCATTCTTACATACATACATTACACACATACATTACACACATACATACATACATACATACATACATACATACATTACATACATACATTACATTACATTACATTACATTACATTACATTACATTACATTACATTACAATAAAGGACATTACATTACATTGCATACATACAGTACATTACATTACATTACATTACATTACATTACATTACATTACATACACATACATACATTACATACATACATACATACATACATACATACATACATACATTACATACATACATACATACATACATACATACATACATACATACATACATACATACATACATTACACATACATACATTACACATACATACATACATACATATACATACATACATACATACATACATACATTACATACATACATACATACATACATACATACATACATACATACATACATACATACATACACATTACATACATACATACATACATACATACATACATACATACATACATACATACATACATACATACATACATACATACATACATACATACATACATACATACATACATACATACATACATACATACATACATACATACATACATACATACATACATACATACATACATACATACATACATACATACATACATACATACATACATACATACATACATACATACATACATACATACATACATACATACATACATACATACATACATACATACATACATACATACATACATACATACATACATACATACATACATACATACATACATACATACATACATACATACATACATACATACATACATACATACATACATACATACATACATACATTACATTACATTACATACATTACATACATACATACATACATACATACATACATACATACATACATACATACATACATACATACATACATACATACATACATACATACATACATACATACATACATACATACATACATACATACATACATACATACATACATACATTACATACACATACATACATACATACATACATACATACATACATACATACATACATACATACATACATACACACATACATACATACATACATACATACATACATACATACATACATACATACATACATACATACATACATACATACATACATACATACATACATACATACATACATACATACATACATACATACATACATACATTACATACATACATACATACATACATACATACATACATACATACATACATACATGCATACATACATACATACATACATTACATACATTACATACATACATACATTACATTACATTACATTACATTGCGTTACATTACGTACATACATACATTACATACATTGCATACACACATACATTACATACATACATACATTCATACACACATTACATTACATTACGATACCTTACGTTGCATTACATTACATACCATACACAAATATACATACATACATACATTACATACATACATGAATATTACATTACATTACATTACACTACGCGTCACTGCATTACGTTACATTACATTACACTACACACATTACACTACACACATTGCATTACATTACATTACATTGCATTGCATTGCATTACATTGCATTACATTTCATTACATGTGCATTTGCATTTACATTTGCATTTACATTTGCATTACATACATGGATTGCATACATACATACATTACGTTACGTTACGTCACGTCACAGGTACGTTGCATACATGCGTGTATAATATATTTGCTTGTGCATGTATTGGGGGACCGCTCATGTTTGGCAACAACCATCCACTGTCAACGGAGCAAGGAACGGCGAGATTCGCAATCCTACCTTTTGTTGTAGTCTGCCCTTGTCCCAAGCGAACCATTGACTGGCACTGGCCCAAATAGCCCTCTGGTCTCACACAAGAGTGGAAAACCAGTCAGTGGCCCTGAAAGGCTGAACAGCAACTAGTGGCGCTAGCATGCTGCAATTGGACAGTCTTTGGCTCCCCCCTCCCCTCATCTGCCATGGCGCCTGCTTCTTTACCCTGGGCCCCGAGGGCTCAAATTCAAGGCGTGTATGGCGCGTCATCCGTGTCCGGAACCACGGCGCTCGTTAACACGCACGCAAAAACATGAACCCAGGAACTTCCGGCAAGGCCCAGTTTCGGGCGGCGGCCCCGGCGTTGAGCTTTGAGCCGAGTGCAAGCCACCACACGCTGGCTGCGAGACTCTGGGCAAGCCAATGCGCCGACACTTTGGCGATTGCCCGCATGCGCAAAGCGCAAGCAGCTCTAGGCGCAACGGAACGATGCCAATGCTGCATTTGAGCCCGGAGCGGCGGGCAGCTCTTCCGGAAACCCCGCATGTGCACTTCTTGTCCAAACAAAGGGCGCTTGAGCTGAAGCAATGGAAAGCACTTCGTGAGCTGGGGCAAACAAAGCTGCAATCGGCAACCAACACTCGCAACTGCTGCAATGGGTTGAAATCCAGGCTTCGGAAGCGAGCAAAGGCAGAAAGTACATTTGAAAGTGGGCACTAACACCCAGTATTTCAATCATTTGAGTACATTTGAGCAACACGCTAGGCCAAGTCAGAACCTTTGAGTGGCTATGTGTGCATTGCAAGTGGTTTGTGCTAGGCTCCTCAAAAAAATATACTGTTGCGTGTGAGCGGAAATGTGCGCGGAACGCTTGTGCTGACATCGGGACGTGTGCGCTGTCTGTAGCCAGTGCCAATGGGTTTAATTGCAACCAATTCGTCCAGTCATACATGCTGTAATATGCAACAGAACAGAGAGAATATGTCAGAATGCATGCGAATCAAAGCAGTAAGTACTTGCACCACTGTGCAAAACGGATGCTCTGCGATCATGGTTTTGGCCAACCCGCAAAGGGGAGCATTACACAGAATGCCGACGAATGGCCTCTGATGTCAAAACCCAGAGCCAACAGGTTTGGGTGGTTCTATTGGGACTGGTGTTTGGAAGAACGCCCAAAAACAAAACTGGACATGCTGTATAACATGGTCCTTGAACTCAATCTTTCACTTGCTGCTTGCGGGTATTCTACATGAGCCAGTGACGCCTGAAATCATTGTGGAACGAGGACTCTCCAAGGGAAATGTTTCTTCCTAAGGTTTCTTCCCCACGTGGCCCACCGCCTGCGCGCTCCTGGCGACACAGACTCCGTCACACCCAGATCGCGCAGGCCGGCCTCGTTTTTTCTATCATTTGGCCTGGAGGACTTCAAGCAACTGATCGAATAGGGACTCCACCTTCGCCTCCATGCGCCAAATATCCAGGGCCTTGGCAGATCCCCGAAGGCGTGTGGCGCCTTCTATGAACTCGACCAGCGTGATTTCACCATCGCCGTTGTCGAGGTAGTCAAAGAGGCTCAGCAGGTCGTGGTACTCCAGTTCCAGCTGACTCATCCAAAACTTAAGCATAGGAGAGTCCACAAGTTGCGCGAACTCATCTTGATCAATGTTTCCATCACCAGAAGTGTCCAATGTATGGAAAAGGTTCTTCACCTTCCTGGTATACACGGCAATATCCCGCTCCTTGCGAAGGACGGCATCTTCAACATAGAGCTGAGGGTGCAACGCAAACACATATTTAATGGCGCATGCCTTTGTATCACTGGCCTCGCTCAAAGTAAGTGATGCAGTTTGTGGGGGAGTGAAAAAGGGGAGGCTGCCATTCGAAAGCAACATGTGAAGAGAAACATCCTCCCCACGTGCTTCTCCCAAAGCATGCGACCCTTCAAAGTTAGGCACCTTCTGCTTGTACGCGAGCTCTTCGTCAGAGCTGGCAGTCTTGATCGTTTGCTGAACAAACACGGCATTGACCTTGGCTACACCAACCCCCGAAAAGGGGCAAGAGCTGCACCGAGGGTCCAACACGTTGTGCCTCCCTTTGCTGAACCACGCGCAAGTCCACATACGCAATAGCCCCGGAAGGACTGGAAGCGGCCAAAAGAAACAGTCTAATGCGGAGCAAAGGTGCGACGTTTAAGATCGCAAATCCAAGCACGCAGCGGTACAGGAGGAAAAACACCGAAAACCATTCGCTGATGTTCTCCACCTGGTCAGCTGGCGCATCGCTTGCTGAAAGCAATGGCTACAATCAATAATACAGTCAATGTTTTCAACAAACTGAAAAAGTGCCTCTTAACTGTACAAAGCAAATGAGGCCACACCATCGCAAGTGCATTCTTTGACTTGCTTCCGGCTCCCAATTGGGGCCAATCAATCTGTGAGCTTGCACCCTGAAGCGTTGCAAGACACCATGTTGTCCATACAAAAGTGGTGCTGAGCCGCTGCATTCACAGACTCTTGGACAGACCTTCCGCAACTCACGCCACGGACTTTGCAAACGCTGTGGGTGTGACTTCGGCAGAGGGCGCCGAACTCTGACAATAGCGGTGCGGCAGCCTAGTCGCGATCGTGGCGCGCTTGTCTGCGGTTTCGCACCAATGCCGGTGCGGTTTCGGAAGCAACGAACGAATGTGTGATGGACGTACATCACACCGGTTTGCGCAGCTTTCAATTCAACGCACTTCTCAGCAAAAAAATACTCGGGCTGATGTCTTGCTGCGTGTTGCATACCACCTAAATAAGCACATCAGTACGAGCACACGCGCCTTTCTCGAACATCTAAGAGTCCCCTGAGCCAAGCCATCCTCAAAATCCCGAGGACATGTGCAGCCAAAGCACCAAGACTCGACATGGCGGGCCCCAATTGGCGAAGAGAATTTCAAACATCGAAAGAACGGTGCGGCTGAAGGTCCCGTAGTACCTCGGACTGTCAAGCATAAATCTCAAGCCGCCCTCAGAAATGGCGGCTTCCTTCTGCTAGCCTCAAGCATCCTTAGGGCCGATGCTACTCCATGAGCTTGCCGGCAGGTATCCAATCACCATTCAATTCAAACATTTTTTTTTTGTAAAAAAAAAGTGGGCCCAAATGCCAAGTTGTACACCGAAATATGCCGAGCCACTGGAAGACCTCTTTGCGAATCTCCATGTTGTTGCTTGGGTTTCCGATGAACTCGCGGCACAGGGTGCTCGCCAGGATCCCAGCCACGCACTGGATGAAGGTCAGCAGGCAAAAGCTCCAGAAGAGCATGTTCGTAGAGGCCGCCAAGTATTTCACCAGGAGCTCCAGGGACGAGAGCACACTGTTCCTTAGGTTGAAAACCAGCAAGCAAACGGGCGAGCTTTCAATCCGAAGGACTCCCCGTTGAAATGGTGAGAACCAACCATTTGTTCATGACCCCGATGGCCTGTAGCAGCTTCCCCCTGTGCTCCAAGGAAATTTAATGTTGCACCTCGTCGTGAATCCCAAAACAAGGCTGCAACACGGAAACCCCAAGTCCGACAACAATGGGGTACCCTCAGCAGCGATCTTTTCTGGGAGTATCCTTGCTCCAGACTTTGAAACTGAAGCCTTAAAGGCTCCACTAAGACTAAGCAGTATGGCAATACATAGCTGGTGCAGATCAGTCTTCCCAAATCTGTCACGGACACTTGAAACAAGCTCACTGGAAGGGTTCATGGGGGGTCCATGGGGGGTCAAACATTGCTCCCACCCCACTCATTGAACAAAGTACAAGCTTCCTAAGGTAACCGGCCGGCCGATAGCCGATAGCCGGGCGGCAGCGTCACCAGCCGCGTGGCGCGCGCCAGCTTGCCGATGCGCACCAGGCGCAGCAGGATGGGGTCCACCGGA